TTAGTTTTTGCCTTCTTTTGCGAGTATTTTGACCGGGGAAGATTGTTTTTTGCGTTGAGCAGTGCGGCGGATGCTGGGCTACCACGCCAAAGACAAAGCTGCTTCTCGAGACAAGCGAAAAGAGAAAAGACGATGAGACGATTCGTCGTCGGGCCGTAGAGAAACAAAGACTCGGCCGTGTGCCCCACACAAAGGCACCGACACCCTCGGCATGAAACCTGAACCAGCCACGGCGGTCGCTTTGCCTTGCTCCATCCACACCGACCGACATCCGCTACGAGGCCGGTGATCATTCTCTTTTGCGCCTATGCGCGCCCCAGCTGCAGATCCCTCGATAGCGTCCGTATCTGTTACTCTACTATCCACATTACATAACCACCATGGTCTAATACATCACCACACCGACATGGTAAGTTTTCAGCAAACAACATGGTAAATTCATTTACCGCTATGGTTACTACATCACTACGTCGATGTAAGCATCATCACTTGGTAAATGTGTTATCATCATGGTACGTACTAACTGGTATGCATCATCACTGGCGATGCATTTTGTTTTACAAACGCACGAGCTATTTGTAAGTCACCTGAATTTTCAATTGGTGTAAGCCGCTGTCGCGTGAGAAGGAAGAAGTAGGGGAGGTGGAGCTTGAGGCGGAAGACGGGGTGACATGACGAGCGGCAGCGAAGTCAACCCCCGCGAGGCCGAGCCAGGACCTCTCGCTGCACGCAGCATCGAGTTGTGACCTCGCCGGCGGAGGCAAGGAAGAGAGTCAACTAGGGCAGGTGGGGTGCACTGGCTCACCGGAGAAATCTAATGATCGGGAAGGTTTAGAGGGATTAGCTGTGATGGAGTTACTTGTCGGCGTCGATGTCTCGTCGTTACTACTGCCTTAGGTCTGACAGCTGGACCCATAGTTTATGCAGTCAACAGCCGGGAAGAGAAAACAAAAGTGTGGGGACATGAGATTTGGTTGCCCTCATCCGACATAGATCGCCAAGTGTGGTCAACTAGCATAACAAGCG